TGCTCCCCAGCATCTCCCAATCGAACAATGACAATGTCCCGCTTGGTACGCAACATGATCTACCTACCACCAACTGAGATGAGCCCTTCGTCTCACAATTGGGGTGCGTTGATCGGGCTAGATCATACTGATGCAGTCATCTAGCTTCTATGTATGGAAAGGGCCGAAACTCTTACTAGTCATGTCTTTCCTGCAAACGACTGGCTTTTTAATGTAGCTGACGCGCAGATAGTTTATGAAGAAGCATTTGGCGACATTCTTATTATACATGTACCATGCCAAACTGCGTGTATTCTCAATTCTGTTAATTGCCTGAAGGGGAGGGTTATGTGCTTTCGTCTAATAGATCCGAACACGGGCAGCTCGAGGCGGTATTCGGTGCAGGTTAGTGGTAGAGTCCACCGCAATCTCCATGGTCGATTTAATATGCCATAGATAATTGTAAGGGTAGATTGGACTCATACTTATGGCGAGAGAGCGGTAGAGTATTCGACACCACACCGCTCCAGGCCGAGACACCCGGATACGCTCTAAATGAGAGAAAAGGCCCTGCCACGCTGGCCTGTGGATTTGTTACGCACGTGGGCTCCCATGCCGTAAAGGAAACGCATTTTCAATGGTCCGATCGAAATGTTGCTAATATCTGTGCTATGGGTTTCGTGGAGAAGCCCGCGCTTCTCTTGCCCATTATGATCATTATTTCTTCTCAGCGTTCAGCCAAACCTTGCCGTAGTATCCTGGTCCAATACAATCACAAATAGCAGTTTCTCATTGAGTGAGACATCGCAAGTCAATAGATGTGGCACTAATATGGGAGTATCAAATGCCAAGGATCGTACTTCAATAGCCACAACCAATCTTTAATCATTTATTACATGTCTGAGTCTTGAGCACTACTGTAGTTTTAGCTTTCTTGAAAATTTCCTCACTTATACAGACGGAGTACAAGCATAGTGGGCCAGTCAATACAAACCAGCTGCAACGACGGAACTAATCAAATATTTAATCTACTCGGCAACATATAGTGGCTAGCGACTATAGCCCGTCGGTTCAGGAGAGCCATCTCGGCACAGTTCATATACCATACCAGTCATAGTTTTCCATCTGCACAGCTAAGGGAAGCATAGATAAAACACGAAGACCCCAATGCAACAAGAAAAGATACATCGCGCGCCATGGCATCAGCTTGGCATCGAGTCAATCGAGCTTGTCCAGTGACCGTCCAATCCGGCGTCAATGATGAGCGTGTTCATATTCTGTCGGTTGAGCTGCTGGTCACATTGCAAGACGAATACAGAGTGATATATTACTCTGATATACATGATGTGATACCCAAGTAAATCAAGCTTGAATCGCATCACTGCTGCCGACGCAAGGATGGGCCGATCTTCTGGCCCTCTGTAGCTTTGTTTGAACCCTGCCTGGTCCCATTCTGGATCTCACTTTCAACGATTGCCAATCGACCAAAAATGTCCGCCAGATCGTTGCGAATGGTTTCATTCCAGGTGGCCTGGTCATGCGACAAGCCCTCAATAGACCTGCTGAGACAGTTAGCGCTTTAAATTCTCACTCGGGATGGACAACAGCTGATGTTGGTATCACCAGCTAGGTACTGTGTACACAGTTAAGTGGACAGTGGTTATACTTCCAAAGCAAAAGTCAATTTTTGATTCGTGTAAAAAAAATAGATGATCCTTCTAGGTCAAGGCCCAGTACCCCTGAATCCATACGGCGGGAGCCGTTGCTTAGCAAGATTACGTACAACCTGTCTTTGCTTATTCTGACGGAAGTATATGTCGCGACACGGACTGTATGGTTCAGCCGTGCAGGTCAGAATATAAGCAAGATTTCAGCCAGAGCAAAATTGGGGACACAGCAATTTCGGAAAGTTTACATCACTTCTCCCCACTCTTTCCACTCCGACAAAATGTTATCCCAGAATATAAGACGTGAGGTCTTTTATGGACCATTGCCCTATCAAGCAGGATACCGAACCGGAAGAGCCACTGGGGCCACGGGAAGTAAAAAAGAAACGGCTGAGAATAACGAACGCGTGGAAGGTATTTACCACCATTCGGAACAGCGGAGGTTTATCAAGGCCTATACACCGAGTCATTTACAACGCGAAATCCTGAACATCGCCTACTCCGCCTCCGATACTGGCGTTCTTTCTCGTCCGCGCTTTCCTTTTCCTTTTGTTGTCCCTGGCATTCCTCTTGCAGCCATTTCAACACCATTGGTCGGCGCTTCTTTCGCATCTCTTCAGTTTCTGTTCACACACATTGATCGCTTTGAGATCTACATTGCGGCTGTGTTTCAACACTTAACAGCTTGCTTAAGCGCTAGGAAAACTTTGGGAGGTGAAAAGTCAGGATCGACTGTGTATGGCTGCAATTCCCAGTGCACCCCCACGCAAGATGCTAGGCACGATTTTCCTGATAGCCCAACAAGGAATTGGAATGATACGACACTTGATAAATCAGCAGGTATCTCGACTGTGGTCACACAGGGTTCCACCTATAATAAACAGGATGCTGTGCGTCATGATCCATTCCACTCCATACAACCTCCAGAATGACATTCTCTATCGTTGAGGAAGAATTCGGGTCGTTGCCCACCACACCTTGGCGAGCAGCGATCCATCTGAGTTCTCTTCAAAGCCCCTTGTTCGCCAATTGGCGAATTATGTCCAGACATCCCACCAGGTAAACCTGGCCAGAGGGAATGCGCGGTCGTCGTAGCGCCTTCAGCGCCGCTTGGCTACTGCGAATATGACCAAGCTGTGCTTTGCCCGTGTGAGACACAGCTTATTACCGTTGAGAACTAATTCCAGAGCCATCTTTATGGCCCGTAGCTCCGCAGAATACAAGTTAAACGAGTCATCATCGCCCATTTGACTTAGAGCGATGTGTTCCCCCGTCTCATCTCCTGCTGCTGCGCCTACTTGACTCCCGATACCGCTTCCGTCCGTGTACATGATCAGGGGTCTCTCTTTTGTAGCTTTCCCAAGGATCTGGTTATGACGTTGCACAGCAGCGTCTCGGTCCTCGATCGTCACATTGGTGGTGCTTGCCACGTGCCAGGCCAAATGCTTTTCGACTCTCGCAGTCTCTCGTCCACGGCCGATCATTTGTACTTGAAATATCATAGGTAAACATCAACCTTGGAAGCCGTGACTATTTAATAGGAAAAAAAAATAATCTAGGAATGTGAGTGGTTAAACCATGCACAATTCTGGAGTAGAGGGAAGGGGTTGGTTAATGTGATCTAATTTTTCAATTGTATTTCATAAAGGGCATTACTAAAAGGACCCCCATTTTGACCGTTCAGACCCTACCTACGTTCACTAAACCCGATTAGGTCTCATACAGTAATTGCATTTCCAATGCATTAAACGGTAAAAATGCATCAATTTCTTGGCAATGCTAATGCCTCCAAGAATTGGCGGTCATAGATCCGAGGTACTTCGATTTACTATGCAGCCCTTCAGTTAGTGAGTGCCTCCTACAAAGCTATCAGCTGACTCTGTAATTCTGGAAAAGGTATCTCCTAACGGCGTCTGGGCGCAGTTTCACCGATAATAATCTTCGCGTTGCGAAATACCCCTTCGATAGTAGAATGTACAGCTAATCATCTCGGATCAAAAGAGGGTTTCATGCTAGTATCTGTCACGGTTAAAATTGCCTTAAGTGAGACTATAGCATGATAAGTAATACTTTCTTTTCTCCCCTCTTATTTCTTTTTGTGGACTTAAGTGATACGCTAGTAGAAGTCCCTAGAGAGGCATGTTTCCTTTGTTTGGCACGTTTGGGTTTCATGCTGCATTTGCATCCCTTCCCTTCTTGTACGCATGCGGGTGGTAGAAACTGGAGGCCCGATTTCTGAGGCTCGGTATGTGGAGGAAACTAGATCGGGTCAAAGATATTGATTGATTGATTGACCTTTTAGTTAAGTTTTCTAGGAAACTACTAGACCAGCCCACTAGCCTTAAGATAAGACATACAATGGTATGTACGAAATAAGCAGGATAAACTTAAATAGAAATTGTCTCATTACATCTCAATGCTCTACTCACTCTCACGACATGGAAAATCTAATATAAACAAACTGAACTTAAAGGCCCCGTTCCTAAGCAGAGCTTCATTTGATATGTAACAGGTCTTATGCGTTCCTGGATGCTACAGTTAGGGCTGTAACTAAACCTTGATAAAAATAAACTTCAAATTCTCCGAGAATCCGCCAGGTTGGACTCCCTGTGAACGCTCCACCACCGCTCCACGTGGCAAACAAAATAAAAAGTGGGGATAAGGGGGTGAATCCCGAGATTTGAAACTGTTTTTCGCTTATCGCTCGATCAAGAAGTCTTAACTAACCACAGAAGTTTTGTTGGTGGCTTGAGTCAAAACCTTATTTCTCCATCTTCCCCACACACACGGCTCGGAAATCCGAGAACTCTAATTAGTCCAGTCATTTGCTTCAAGCAATGTGGTCAATAATGCCGTACTCCTACCACTTCTATCAGCACTAGGGAAAGGTCACTTTCACTAGCGAATATATTCAGTCTACCCGGAATGGTTTGGTTTTCACTTGTGTCGTGATTTCTTTGTTTGTACTAGGGATTCTCGACACTCCGAGAATCGGGAACTTTCAACCCCCCTTTCTCTGCTCATGTTAGCAAGGACACCTTAGCGTGTCCTCGTATCTTCTGCTCTTTTCATCTTTTCAAAAATTACCGAAAGTTACATTTATAATTGTTCTAAATATATATATCTTAGCCACCAAGTTGTAAAAATCCCCCAGACTTCCTAAAAAGCATATTTTAACAATTAATAATCCCGATAGGCCATGGTTGTTGAGATACGAAGCTGTAATTTATCTCATTTACTATGTGTTTTGGGGTGCGCAGCTCGCATGTGAATTACGTTACAAATGCAATACTGTATCAGCTTGCTGTGACATACTCCCTTCTTTCGGAAACTGCTGCCCTCACTACCATCACCATGAAGCTAACAACGTATCGTAAATGGTTCCTCGGGTTGGCGATGCCAGCCGTCACCAGCGCCTTGACGACAACCATCAGTTCCACGACGAATTGGGGCACCTGGGAGGGGTTCGGCGTGTCGCTTGCTTGGTGGGCCAAGGCGTTTGGCACACGGAGTGACTTGGCCGACATATTCTTCTCCGCCCAGTCGACAACCTACAATGGACATAGCATTCCCGGGCTGGGGCTCACCATTGCACGGTACAACGCCGGCGCCTGCAGCACCATCAACGGCTCCGCGATGGTGGTGTCTCCCGACATGATCCCCTCGCGACAGATGGAAAGTTACTGGGCTGACTGGTCCAGCTCTTCGCCGTCGTCATCGAGCTGGAGCTGGAGTGTCGACGCCAACCAGCGCAACATGCTGTCGATGGCCAAAGCCCGCGGCGCAAACATTTTCGAGCTCTTTTCGAACTCGCCCACGTGGTGGATGTGTCTCAACCATAACCCTTCCGGGTCCAGCGACGGCTCCAGCGACAACTTGGAATCGTGGAACTATGACCAACATGCGGTCTATCTGGCTACCATTGCGGAATACGCTGCGAGTTACTGGGGTGTGTCCTTCCAGTCTGTGGAAGCCTTCAACGAACCGTCCTCGGACTGGTGGAACGGCCAGACTGGAACTCAGGAAGGCTGCCACTTTAACGTGGACACCCAAGCGACCGTGATTGGGAACCTGCGCACTGAATTGAACAACCGAGGGCTCAGCTCGATCTTGATTGCAGCCTCGGACGAAAACTCCTACGACTTGGCGATTACCACGTGGAACAATCTCGGAAGTACGGCGACGAGCAAAGTAGGCCGCATTAATGTCCACGGATACCAATACACCGGTGGACGGCGGGACACGCTGTACAGCCTGGCCTCCAGCTCCGGGAAGCGGCTCTGGAACAGTGAGTACAGCGAGAGCGACGTGACGGGCCAGCAACTCGTCACCAACCTGCTTCTCGACTTCCGCTGGCTCCACCCGACGGCCTGGGTATACTGGCAAGCAATCGACAGTGGTGGATGGGGCCTGATCGATGGGGACAATGACAACTTGACGCTCGGCGCCGTCAGCCAGAAGTACTTTGCGCTGGCGCAATTCGCCCGCCACATCCGGCCTGGGATGCGCATCCTGGACGGCGGGAGCGATTACACTGTAGCCGCATACGACTCCACGGCACAGAAGCTGGTCATCATTGCTGCAAACTGGGGTGCGGGCCAGTATCTCAACTTTGATCTCTCCAGCTTCAGCAAGCCTGGGGTCAGTGGCGCCCTGGTCCCACGCTGGATGACTCAAGTCGGAACCGGCGACCAATACGCCAGCTACAGCGATACCTATATCAGCGGGACGAAGTTTTGGTCGTACTTCCCCACTGGAGCGGTGCAGACGTTCGAGGTGTCGAATGTGACGTTGTAAAGAGACGGACGAAGAGCATCGACCTGACTTTTTACTTTTTGAGTTTGCCTATTGTAAACCCCGTCTTATATGCAACGTATATATGTGGTGTCAGTAGAACCCGCGTGGCCTCGGGCCGCCACGGCAACTCTCGCATGCGTGCTCCGTGTAGATAGCCAGTTGACACTATTTAACCTTGTATGCAAAGGAAGTTATACCAGGACTATGAATTTTGTTGAGATAAGGGATAGGATAACATAGGCAGCTGAGGTTCTGCCGGGATCAAAGCCGTATCTAAGTTACCAAGAGACTCTCCCAAAGGGCTGTAATACCAATACATAAGTTTATAAAGGCTGTAAGGCTACAATAAACGATGGTGTGAAAAAAAGCCCTTTTTCTTACGAACCAATCATTAAATTGCAAGGTAATTTCAAAGCTATACCTAATAAAGCTATTAGATAGAGAAATTGTTAAAATAGCGGCGTATAGCGGTGAAGCTTTAACTAAGAGATAGAGGTCGAACCCGCAGATAAAGCCCCAATTATAGATAAGGTATTACGAATATCCTAAAAGTGATAGTGATTGACTGGTCAGTTTTAGCATAAATATAGAGAGAATCCCTAGCAAAAATGGATCATCATTCACATTCTCCATCTATCTTCTCTCTTATGAGTAAGGCCACTACTTTATGATGTGTCGAAGAAGTGTTAAGAAGAGAGTTACTTTTAACAGATTCAATTCTAAAATTGCGCCGATCAACAGCGACAATGAAGTCTTGTCTCTAGTAAAAAAAATAAGTATAAATAGAATAGAATGCCTCAAGTCCCCACCGACTCATTCCAACAAGAAGAGATAATTAAAACTATCTCAAGGGCAGCCGCTGGAAGGGTAGTTGCAGCTGCTGGTCTCACCTCCTCCGGTAATGGAGACATCAGTGAAGATGAAGTCAGAGCAGCTGTCCGAGCCACAAAGGATGTAGTAGTCGTAGGCATCGTCGGTCGCTGTGCCCTTCACGTTGTCGAAAGTGACGCCGCTGATGGTGACGCCATTGGTTGGCTCGCCAGTAGCGCCACCATTGAGGTAGTCTTGCTGTACGTCGATACCGTAGTCAGTGATGCCAGAGACAGTAATGTTCTGGTAGACAATGTTGCTGATCTGTTTGTCATGTTAGTGCCCTGGTTGCGGAGCAAAGTGTAAGAATGTCATGTCATCAACTTACGCTGCCAGTCGTATCGGCATTGCTCTTGATGCGACAGCCGTTCTGGCTGTTGACAACCTGCGAGTTCTTGAAAGTAATTCCATCAACAATGTTGTTGCTCTTTCCACCGACGGATCCGATGCTGAGACCGTGGCCACCGGAGCAGTACACATTGTCAACAACAATCTGAGTTCCACTGGTAACCGCAACACAGTCATCCTGGTTGTACACTTCGATATCCTCCAAGGTAATGTAGTCACTGGAGGAAACGTCGAATCCATCGCTGTTGTGGGCTGCCGCCTTGCTGCCGCTAGCAGAGTTAGGCTCATCTCCTGCCGTATTGTTCAGAACAAGACCGGAGATGACGACGTTCTGGCTTCCAGTAATATCAAAGCAGTGGACGGGCCAATTCATAATGTTCAGATTGGTGATCTTGGAGTTGTAGGTCTTCGTGACGACGAAGAAGTGGTCGGGCCTGGATATAGTTGTTAGCGATGAAATGAGATGTGTGTGACATTCGAGACTGACTTGTCCTGGCCGCCGTTGGAACCTTCTCCGTCCCAGTAGGCAGCACCATTGCCGTCGATAACGTGGCCCTCGGCACCAGTTATGGTGATACCGTGGCCAGAGACGACAATAGGATCGAAATTATCGTCGTATGTATCTCCGAAAGTCTTTGAAAGATCAGTGACATGCCCAAGTAGTATCTATAGTATTTTGACTCACAGTAGTGCCCGCAAAGGTCACAACGGCACCAGTCTGGAGACTCTGCAGATCAATGGTGCTCGAGGGAGGGGCATAAAAATCAGACAGCACGATGTTGGTGCAAGACTTGACAGCAGAAGAGAGAGAGGCGTATTCGGACACAACACAAGTAGTGCCGGATCCAGTCGAGTCCGCAGCAACGGTTGTCACGGCCTGAGTAGTCGTCGGCGCCACAGTGGTGGCCGGCACATCAACCAAAGAAGTAGTGGAGAAGGCCGGGCGGGTGGCGTTGACGAGAGTAGTCGAGCTAGTAGACGAACCGATTGAAGCAGCAGTGGTGGTAGTAACTGCGCTGGTTGCAACAGCTGTGGTCTGTGCCGATCCGGACTGGTACATGTTAGGGGTTGTAGCTGTAAGTTCGACCATAGAAAAACTTACTCCTGATACTTCAGTAGTCCAGACAGTATCGAGGCAGCTACAGGCACTCGATAGATGCTTGGTGTTGAATTCACAGGCAGAAGCAAAGCTTGGAAGGCGGGTAGTAGCGGTCACTATGCTAGCAGTGAAGGTCGCGCAGAACTCTGCGGCAGCAGAGCGGGATGCAGTATAAGCCGAAGGACAGGCATAGCTTTGTGGGTTATTACATCCCAGAGCAATTGGGACAAGAGAAAGGAAGAGCGCACAGCGCATTTTGAAAGGAATGAATGAATAAAGAATGAATAAGTGAATGACAAATAGAGAAAAGAACGATGGGAGAGAAAGAACAAAACTTTCCTAAGTCCTGATGGGGCTGAAGAAGTCTTATACTCATCTTTGTCGGCTCGGTGGTAACGAATTGGCTCGACCTGACTAAAGCTTGGTCGCTATTTTCAACACGTCAAGCCCACATCAGGGAACTAGCCCGAATATTTCTGATTATTTGGCTTAATTTGACCTGAAAATCCACCAATAAAATCTTCGGACCCCTGACGGAAAGTACATAATATCTCCGTCGAACAGACCTAATGGTGTCAATGACATGGCTTGGCCCTACAAGAACCGCGGAAAGTGCTGAGGCCCACTTAGTCCACGTGGCAAACAAAAAAAGAAGTGGGGATAAGGGGGCGAATCCCAAGGTTTGGATTTATCTTTCGCTTATCGCTTAATTAACCAGGGAAAGACACTTTTACTAGCAAAAGCTTCTATCAACACTAGGGAAAGACACTTCCACTAGCGAATATATTCAGTCTACCCCGCATCTCTTCAAATCTTTCATTAAATGATTCACGTGTAAAATAAAATATACATATAAATACGTATATAAATAAAGTATAGGACTTGGCCAGAGTTGTGAAAACTTGAGCAAATAAAGACGTACTCATGTCAGACAGCCATTCAACAAATGAGGATAATTCCGAGAACGCATTCCATATCCTTTGGTGAGGCTGGCATTGGAAGCAAATAAGATACAGTAAGGTCCGAGTACTCGAGTTGGTGCCTGTCGATCCCTGGGCGGTTTTCTGCGACACACCAAGTTTCATCCTGACGGTGACTACACATCTTCGGCAATACTCGGTCACAAATACGGAGTAGTGGTTTCATACTAAGGTTCTCACGAACCCGCTAAGGTCTAGTTGTGCATAGTGAAACACCAGAATTGAACTAGGAGCGGCCGAGACCGTCCATGGTGATTTCATACGGAGTGCTTAGTATTCGTTAAGCTCGCTTAGCAAGTGAGCGGACGCGTCGTCAGCATCATTCGGGGGGTTTAATGATAAGCAGATATCAAAAAGTTCTCCTCGTACATGGGACTGTTTCAAAGGTTCGGACACTAGTTAGTCCACAGTATCTAAAGCTTTTAGAAACAGGGTCTCCAATAGCTCACAAGCAGCAGTGGGATCAGGTCACTCTACGGTTCTGAGCTATGTGCCTGTTTTTGGTCTAATGCATTAAATAGCAGGAAAAAGATTGTAGCACCTATATGTTGAGGAAGCTGGATTGGGTCAAAGATATTGATTGATTGATTAACCTTTTAGTTAAGCTTACTAAGAAACTACTAGACCACCCGCCCACTAGCCTTAAGATAAGACATACAATGGTACGTACGAAGTAAGCAGGATAAACTTAAGTAGAAATTGTCTCATTACATCTCAATGCTCTGCTCACTCTCACGACATGGAAATTTAATATAAACAAACTGAACTTAAAGGCCCCGTTCCTAAGCAGAGCTTCATTTGATATGTAACAGGTCTTATGCGTTCCTGGATGCTACAGTTAGGGCTGTAACTAAACCTTGATAAAAATAAACTTCAAATTCTCCGAGAATCCGCCAGGTTGGACTCCCTGTGAACGCTCCACCACCGCTCCACGTGGCAAACAAAATAAAAAGTGGGGATAAGGGGGTGAATCCCGAGATTTGAAACTGTTTTTCGCTTATCGCTAGATCAAGAAGTCTTAACTAACCACAGAAGTTTTGTTGGTGGCTTGAGTCAAAACCTTATTTCTCCATCTTCCCCACACACACACGGCTCGGAAATCCGAGAACTCGAATTAGTCCAGTCATTTGCTTCAAGCAATGTGGTCAATAATGCCGTGCGGTAGGTACAGGTCCGGGTAACAGGCATATTAGGAGTTGGGGTAGCGAGGGTCCGGAAAGATTGGTGAATTTTGTAGGGGCCGGTTATCCGTTCGGCCGTGTTATTCTTTCCGTCGTGGATTTCGTTACCAAGTTGTACCATGTCCGTAAACGGCGCGGAAGCGATATGAGGTTGTAACAGGAATGGCCTCTATAGCTATGGAAATACACTGGATGCCAATCAGAGCAACTGAATCAAACAAAGGGAAACAGCAATGAGACCTGGAAAGAGTGTTGATTCCGGTGGAGATCTACTGAAGGCCGACGGGTTGAAATACCCTCGAGAATAAGGTGTCTCGAAAGTTACCTGTCCGAGGTGGCAGAAGGTCACAAAAAGGACGCGTATACCAAATGAGACGGTATTGGATGATCACGGATCTCGGCTAGTCACAGTTGTACCTAATGGAGCAATACATGCCTATCTCCATTTTCCTGACAGGTTGTAACTTTCCACCTACAGGAATTGACAAGTTATCTGCATCCTGTGTGGCGCCATATCAGAGA